CACACACACACACACACACACACACACACACACACACACACACACACCCTTAAAACTCTCCTTGTCCATGATGTCTACAAAAAAAACTTGACAATGGTTAGGCTGCTGGTGTGATAAGCAGATACTGGTCAGATGCTTATCATGCTGACCAATATCACCGATCCCATTGTTGCCTTGAACTCCCCTACCCCTCTCCCTATCTGACTGTATTCATCTGTGGTCTCTTGTCTTAAATTGTAAGTTCCCTGTGGCAGAGGCAGGGTTTGTTTGGTTTCTCTTTGTACAGTGTCTATATCCTGGTCCTTGAGTAGGGCTCCTAAGTGCTACCGTAATACAAAGAGGAAGCAGAAGCCGCAACAGCAGCCAGGAATGGGGCTCAGGGAAGGTAGAGAAGACAGATAGTGAAGGAAGGTGACATGGGTAGAGTAAATCAGAAGGGGGAAGGTTGGTACAGGAAGGATACAGCGGATGGCAAAGTTATGGGAATATCATAGAGAAAGACAAAAGGCTATGTGGGGAGAGTCTAAGTGAAAGAAAGATATACAAGGCAGGCAGGGGAAAGATGGGGGAAATGAAAGAGTTGGGATAGGGGATAGGGTAGCCACAGAGAGTGAAAGAGGGAAAGTGGTTAATAAAGAAAACAAGATAGAATGGATGTAGAGGAAGGAGAGGGGTAGGAGGAATTCATGCAGAGAATGGGATGGAGATCAGGGTGTAAAATGAAAATAAAGGGCAAGAATTTAAGTGAGAAGAGCAGGGGGCAAAGGAGAGAAGGTGAGAGGAGGAGAGAAGAGAAAGCAAAATACCAATAGCCACCAAACACTGTCAGAATATTCAGTCTCAGTAAATGTAAACTAGCTGGGGCAGGGAGTATGTTTTTGGTATTTGTCAGTAGCACAGTGGAGCCTAGATCTATGATTGGAGCCCGTATGCACAATCAATATAAACTTATTATTTTAATACATACCAGAGAGATGAGATGCAGGGAAATAAGGGGGGAAGAGTTGGCCTGATTTACCTCCCACAGAAGTAAATCAGGAGTAGCTCCTTTGAAGTGACTGGAGTGATTTTCCTCTTCTCATGAGTCTCCTTCCCCTTTACACCTGTAAAACATCAGGCCTAATATATAGGATTTCTACACATATTCTTGACTGGAAAGTGCAACCACAGAGACCTTCTCATTTGCTGCCCAAGGGGGTTGGGGGCTTCAGTTTACCAAAAAGTCCTCAGAGATGTCTGCAGATTGAGAGAGTCTATTTTTAAGGACAAAAAGCAAAAGTCTCATGTAATAAGGTGTTTGATATGTGACTTATAAGAGATTTAGACAGTGTTTGTGCCCTTCTGTATACTTAAGGGGGATATTAATGCATACAGCATATTTTCTCATTCATTCATAAGGACATTTGGAGATGTTAGTGGTTGTGATTAGAGATTTCGTATTCCAGATCGATAACCCATTCATACTTAAACTTCACTATTTTGCGCCGTTTTTGTGTGCATGTGTGGGTTGCGGAGGGCTTTGTGTGTGTGGTGGAGGAGTGCCCGCGGTGTGGGGAGGGCAGAGGTGTGTGTATGTATGCTGTGAAAGCGAAGGGGTGTTTGTGTGTTGTGAAGGTGGTGTGTGTTGTGTTATGGAGGGGGAATTGTGGAAGGATAGTGGGTGTATTGTGGAGGGGTGTGGGTGTGTTGTGGAGGGAGGACGTGTTGTGGGTGGATGTTTTGTGTGCTGTGGAGGGCTGTGTGTTGGGTGGGGAGTGGTGTGCAGTGGAAGGGTAGGAGGGCGGGTGTCTTGGGAAAGGGCCTGTTTGTTATTCGTTAAGGATTTTTCCACAACAGGGCCCTTCAACATTGCAGCTTTTAACAGTTGTCTAAATTGTTCAAGACAATTTGTCCCGTTAAGACAGAAAGCGTACTTTTTATTTTATTTTGTGTGTGTGCACTTCTCCATAATTGGTTGAGTGTTTAAAGAGGCCCTTCTTCTCTGATACTCAGTGTTTCAACCACGAAAAGATGCTGAGGGCAAATTCGAACCCCCTGAATCAGGGCTGATAATAGAACTGCAGACAGGCTCTTCGATACCCAGGTGCCATAGGTACCATAAGCTAAATTAAGGGCATCTTAAAACTTCCTTCATCTTTAAAGGCTACGATGGTTCTTAGAAAGAGCGGGGTTAAGACATTTTCATGACAATTAACTTCACTTTATAAATAGTTACAAGATTTTAATGCTTTCGTCTGCCAGAGCACTGTACATTTTCCACCAGGCGCAAAGTGCCAATCTTCTGTTAACCTGCCTTATTCGCCTTGCATCTGACTCGACATCTCCTGTGCAGTTTGGTGGGAAGAACGGGAGATGAACCATTAAAGAAAATAGCATGGAGGGGACGGGGGAGTGGAGAGAAGATAGTAGTTTTATTAGTGGTAAGAAATTTTAAGAAGAGAAGGGGGGGTAATCAGTGAATTTCAATATGAGTGAAGAAAACTTCGCCTCGCGAGGACTCTTCCCACTTTGATTCAAATTTAGATTGTTTTTTGCCCTCATGTTCATTTATCAGTCACATTCCCTGCCGCAGAAGAATTTTCTAATGACATTATAGTCAGCTAGGTCTGTTTACCCTAGAAAACATTTCAAGTGTACTCCGTGGGTGGGGGGCAGGAGGGGGGATTATTAAGCTTCTGAGTATTATTTCAGTATCTTATTTAAAGAAAGAAAACAATTTGAGAGAACAGAAAGCAAGAAGGAAATTGGGTGAATTTCAGGAAGGGTAAATAACTTTTAGCTAGTGTCACCTATTTTACACTCAGGTAAAGGTTAAACCTTCAAGTACGTCAGCAAAGGAAACAGAAATACAATGATCTAACGACCTGTTGACCATTCATAAACTTCAGGCTAAATGAAAAGCAAAGCGGCAATGTGGTTTTTTTGCTTTATTTTAAAAATGTATCTAAACAAGAGTATGTATACCTTACAATAAGGGGCCCGATCCTGCACCCATTGAAATCAATGGGAGTTTTACCATTGATTTCAATGGGAGCAGGATCGTGCCCTGAATTATCAATGAAGGTTCTGCTACCGCTCTGAGCTACCAAAGGTGAACGAGAGCTAGACAATGATATGATAGCACCGTTTCAGTGTACGTTTGTATTCCTACCTCTCCCTCTCATCCCAAACTGTCTGCTGTTCAGAAACTATTTTATTCCATTGACATGCTGAATACAGTGTCTGACCGCCCCGGTTGCCCATGCAGGCAGTCCAATGACTCACTGGCAACAAAAGAAATATAGGTCCTCGGAATTCCCAAAGGGATGGGATCCTCTTTTGAATCCAGAAGCTAGAGGCATACCAAGCTATGGGACAAACCTTGCGGCTCTTAAACCAAAATCCCCACTTTAACTTCAAATTGTGTGTGTGTGTGAGAGAG